CGCTCCCCCTTCCCCTACCTCATCAGCCTCTTTCATATGGCTGTTTTGTTACAGAACTGATAATTATAAAATTACATGAGACATAGGCCCTGCTGATGATGACGTATCTGTGTTTTCCCCTTTTATTGAGAACAGTACGTAGACTTTTCTTTTACCCTGCTTTGTTCTAAAAAGAACTGGGCAGCTTAACCAACATAAGTTCAGAAAGGTAAACAAGTAAATCAAGAAAGAAATCAGATTTAAGGATGATGAAACCCAAAGGACATTTAGTTGTGGGGATGCATGTTGGAAGGCAGGCCTACAAACGTGACTGAATGTCCTAGCAGCCAAAACACCTTCCATTAGACTGGAAACAAATTGCCCTGGGTGAGTAAGAGATTGTGAACACTGAATTTCACAGCATACTTCTCCCCAATGACTGAGTAATGGGAGAAAATGGTTATCTTTAACAATGTCTCCCGCAACAAAGTCAGTGAGTTTTGTACGAACTATTCTAGAAATATTCCTCCAAGGTATTTTTGCAAATAAACCAGAACTTTTCCTCTTCGTTTATGTCAGGAATAAGAAAGAGTCTCATTCTAGAACAAGTACTAGGTTTTAAAAGAAAAACGAAATTCGAGCCTTGAGGATGGATATTATTATTATTGTTTTATAGTTCATTTCGACACTTTTTACTCTGAAAAGTGCTTCATGGACTAAAATCCCTGAGTAAAAGAGCAGGTATCCTGCAGAACCAATGGAATTTTCCCACTTGTTTCAAAGCTAGTTACCTTGTGCTTAGTATAATCCCACACAGGTCCTTGATCACACTGCAGAACCATGTATGTAACTACACCACGCCATGTTAACTACACCGCAGAACCCACCCACCTGGCATAATCATTTTCTTCCTGTGACAGGTGTCCCACTCAGCGTTAAAGACTAACAGGTATTAAAAAGGAACCAGCAGATGGTGTAATGGTTACATCTCTGGACTCTCATGTGGCTGACTGCGATTTGAGTCCTGGGCCTGGTGGCTTCAAATTCAGGCCAGGCGCATGTGTGTGCATGCCCATGACCCTGAGAGGAGACTGGAGGAAAAGGAATTGTGGTGTGGCCATCCCCCCTGGGGGTGACTTCTCATTTTCTATCTCTCTGTCTCTGTCTGTCTCTCCAGTGAGAACACATGCCCTACAGCAAAATTCTCTCTTAAAAAAAAAAAAAGACTACAGGTATTAAAAGTGTAGCACGACTTTGAAGACTTTGCACTTGGGGTTTGAGGAGTTTTCCTCATAAGACCTGTTTTTGCAGCACCCAAATCTCAGGTTTTACAATGCCAGTGATTGGGCCTATCACTCACCTCCCCATACTGACAGGCCTGCAACCAGGCAATGCTTCGTGGTCAGTCCTTCTCTCACACGGTTACAGAAACAATGCTGGAGTCCTCACGGAGTAAGTGCCCTCCTGTTCCAGGAAGTGAGAAAAATCACAAATATAGCACAATCAAAAACAAAAAAACAAAAACCCCCAAAAACTATGTTCTTTACCAAGTGTGTACTTAACTCTGACCACATGTACTCTGGTATATGACCCCTGCTGGGAAACTGCTGGAAGGCTTTATTCTGAGTAACACACTTCTGGGTCAAAATAACTTCACGCTGTTAGAGACAGAGATAATAGTCTGGCACTAGTTAGTACTCTACTCAAAAGTATCTCAGTGACCAAAAATATCAGGACATCAACTACGCTTTCCAATACCCTACGGTACTGGACAGCAAAGACGTGAGATGGCCAATAGGAGGCAGGCAAAATGATTACACTGGGATCTGAAATATTCGTCGCTTCATTAGTATTGATTAGACTTCCCTTTTATGTTTAAAGTCCCATGCAAGGTGCCACCACATCCCTAGTAAATTCTCTGTCCCTTTCACCATCATCTTTCCTCCTCTAGATCTCAAATTTCAGAAAACACACAGCGCTCCAGCCACGGCCTCCTTCCAACCTACTAAATCAAAGGACGTTGGACAGTCTACCTTTTCTTGGTCTTGGGTACTAGTTTACCTCCTCAGGCCTCTCAAGACAGTTTCCAGCTGGTTGCTCAGCTCTCGAACGACTGCTCAGGACTGTCACATTTCCTCGTTCTCTGACGTTCCATCTGCTCTGTTGCCCAGATGAGAATTCTATCTAGGCTCTATTCTAACTAATCACCATTTCTGGTAGGCCTTACCATGATTCCAATTATAGCTTAACTCAAGACATTCCTTCCCCACCCTCCACTCCAAATTTCTCTTCTGAGCTACAATATGCACCTTCAACCACTTTCATCTCCCTCTGAATGTTACACAGAACCATGAAAAGCATATCTATAACCACACTCCTAAAGGGTAGTCCACACCCTCTTCTCCCAACCTGTTCCTCCCTGCAGTCCCAATTTCGAGTCTAACAGCTACTCAAATCAGAACCCAAGCAGTCATGCCTGACCCCTCTTTCCTTCCATTTTTCCTATCAAGTTTCCTAAGGATTCCTTCCTTCCCTTTCTGTAACTTCAATTTATCTAAAACCTGTTCCTTTCCCTGATCACCTTTGCAGGCTCTTCTCTCTCTCTCTCTCTCTCTCTCTCTCTCTCTCTCTCTCTTTTAAAGATTTATTTATGTATTTATTCATTTTAATTTGACCAGAGAGAGACACAGAAAGAGAGAGAGGAAAGTGAGAAAGCAAGCCACCAGGTCCAGGACTCGAACCCTGGTCAGCTATGTGGGAGTGTCCAGCGCCTTAACCACCCTGCCACCTGCTGGTCTCTCTTTTTTTAAAAAAGATTTATTTATTTATTAAAGCTCTTTTCTCTTGTCCACTCTATCAGAACAGCAGCCTAACTAGTCCTCCCACTTGCAGTCTCAACCCAGTGGTTCTCCACGCTTCTTCCAACAGCCTACATGTCTTCCTTCTGAAGCGGATATCCACTCCCACTTGTGTAGAACTCCGATCACGTTACTTCTAGCCTAGAAATCTACTAGTGGCTCCCAGGGCACTTGGAGCAGAAGGACAAAGGCTTCACTCTGCCCCACAAAGTCCTGTAGGATCTGGCCACCTGTGAGGGCTCTGACCTTATCCTCTAATCTCCCCTTTTCACTCCATTCCAACCACACTGGCAACCCTTAGGTCTTCAAACAAGCTAGGCACTCTCTGGTCTCAGGGTCTCTGGACTTGGTCTTTCTGCTCAGAAGCAGCCTGTATGGCTCACCATCTGGTCTTTACTCAAATATCACCTCCTGAAGGGGGCCCTACCTAGTCGCCAGATCAATGACTGTGAACTCCCCCCTCCACCCAGCTTCCTTCCCCAATTTTTCTCCTTAGCATTCACTTACTTATTAAATATTTATACAGTGCTTACGGTGTGCCAGCATCTGCTGCAAATACTACAAGTATTGTTGGGTTGTCAGAAAACTCATGGCGCATTTTTGCATAGAAAAACATAGAAAATGTCATGACTTCTCCGACATCTCAATACAACCTACAAGTAGGTATTATTATTACAACATCTTACAGGTGAGGCAGAGAGGGCGAGTGACTCTTCTAAGGTAACACAGCTAACAGACGGTAGAGCTGGGGATTAAAGTGTGAGAACACACTCCCATCCTTGTCCTCTATACTGAGTGTGTGCTAGCATTTCTCTTGCTCGTGTGTCTCCCCAGAATGTGAGAGCCAGACTCAGGTCTGCTGGGCTGACCACCATGCTCCCAGCATCACGGACCCTGGAAAAGCAGGGTCAGGCAAAAGTCAAGTTTCAGATCTGTGACTCAAAAAGGTTATAAATCTCTACACGAGAATGATCTTTCCAAAACATAAATAGGAACTATGAAAACTCACTTTTGTCTCTCACTCAGTAAAATGTCCTAACTCCCAAGGATGGGAAAGAGGTCCCCTATGACCTAGTCCTGCACTGTTCAATATGGTGGCCCCCTGCTACAGATGGTTATTTAAAATAATTTAAATTAAATGAAAAGGTTTCAAAATTGTTTTGATTCATGATGGAGCACATGCATGAGAAAGAAGCACCCTCCATAGGGCCTACTCCTTCCTCTAGTCCTCCAGTTCCTCAGGATCCTGGGCGTGCATGCTCATGCCTGGCACGTTTCAGGCCAATCAGGCCAGGGATCAGACTGAGGTTTGCATGTCGCTTCCAGCTCCATAGTCATATGTTACTGACTGCACCGCAGAGGCTGGGTCAATATAAATTAAACAGAATTTAAAACTGAGTTCCTCAGTTGCACTAGCCACATTCTGAGCTCCATGGCCACATTTACTTCTGCTTGGCCTGAGCAGATACCTAACACTGACATCATCACAGGGGGTTCTTTGGGTGGCCTTTATTTAGTCCCCATCCATCCTCCAGTCCCATCCCCTCACAGATCCCTCCATGTACCCTGAGCCCCAGCCATACAAAAACACAAGCTGGCAGTCACAGAAATGCCAAGCATTCTTTGCCATTTGCAGAGTGGATTTCTCTGTGGGTCTGCTAGATGGCATTCCGCCCTATCTCTCAGGACACAAATCAAGCATGATTACTCTGGGAGACCTTCCTGAATCCTCACATGCCCGGAGTACTTGCTTATCGCGCAGTAAGCTACCGTGTTACGGTCGACTTTCTCATTACATGGCAAGGCCCTCACGGGCAGGTCAGCTTCTTTTTCTTGTTTTCTTTTCTGTTTTAGGGACCAGTGTCTGTCACATACGTGATGAGCAACCACTGCTTACTTCCCCAATGGCTGGACACAGGAGATGCAAAGATGAATCAGATATGGATTCAGCCCTTACAGAATTGATAATCCAGTAGAGGATAAAACACACAAAGGGATCACAGAGTAAAAAGTATTAATAATAATGTATACGAATATTTTCAACATGCTTACCGTGCTCTACCTATTACACTTCCAGAAATTCATCCCTAGGAAATAATAGGGTAAATTCCCCTAATATATATACATATATATATAGGATGTTCGTTGTAGTATTACATCAGAGCAAAACACCATTACTAATGTCCCTTACAGAGGTGGGTAAAGTAGGGTCCATTATGCAGTGGAAGACCATGCAACTGCTCTAAGTGATGGTGCAGATCTATACTGACTGACAGGGAAAGATATCTATGATATATAAAGTGAACAAAATTTCATCACTCATGGGCAGGAAATTGAAGAAGAGAAGCCAAGGTTAACAGTAGTTAGTATTTCTAATCATGGATCACCTTAATTTTCTTTCCTAGGCTTGCCTATATTTTTCAAAGGTCATCTATTAATTTTCTCATCAAAAGCAACTACAGAACTATTTTAACCACCTACATTTGAATGTTAATCTTTAGTTTCCAGCATGAGATTCTCTTCTGGATGTATCAAGAAAGTCTACCTTGGGACCGGCCGATGGCGTAATGGCTACATCGCTAGTCTCCCGTGTAGTCAATTACGGTTCGCATCCCAGACTCGGCAGCTTAAATCTCACAATGGGTATGTGTACGTACGTGCCCATAATCCCGAGAGAGTGGAGGAGAAGGGACTGCAGTGTGGCCATACCCATGGGAGTGATTTCTCACTTTCTGTCTGTCTGTCTCTCCAGCAAGTGCACATGACCTATAGCAATAAAAAATAAAATAAAATAAAATAAAGTCTAAAATTAAGAAAAAAAAAGCCTACCTTAAAAATCATGACATAGAAATTCCAATCTAAATATATAAAAAAAAAATCAATGATAGTTATATAACAGCTGGACTAAGAAACAAAGAAAACAAAGTTAAGGTTAACAGTAAAAGGTCACAGTTAAAGGTAAACTGGTTTGGGGGGGAAGAAAGACCTTTAATCTTTAATGACCTAATACTACAAAGGTGACATGAGGAGGAGTAATAAACCCAACTCTGAATTTCAAGAATTTACAGACTGTTACCAAAAAATATTGGGTCGTCAGAAAACTCATGATGCATTTTGAATAGAAAAATACATCATAACTTTACCGATGATCCAATACTAATACTCCAAAAATTATCAAGGATAAAAGCAATGTTAAACTATATAGACTCTTGCTATACGAAATCAAAAAGCAGAATGAAGGCTGGTAGTAATAGGAAAAGATTTTTGGAGTTGGGAGGTAGGTAGACTTCGGAGAGGGGTGAGAAAAGAGGATATACTTCAGCAAAGAAGATGCAACATTAGAATGATCACAGCATTTAGGAAACTTTATTTCATCTGGTTGTCTTAGGATTTTTTTTTAATATATGTAAGCATTTTGATCAAAACAATAAATAGGTATTAATGTAAGCTATAAAACTGTGTTTAAAGACAGAGA